AGTTGATGATATTTCATCCCATGAAAATCCAACATAATTATTAATTGATAAAGATTCTAAAGTACGTAATGAATTTTTTGAAGTATGGCAATGATATTTTGAATCATTCGGTAACAAAGGACAAAAACTTGAACCCGTATTTGCAGGACGAAATCTACAACCAATAGCATCATTGTCCAATGGAAAAAATTGTGAAATATCTTTTCCAAATAATGGATTAATAATCGTAGATAACGTTTCATCAGTCTCTGGAAAGATTGGACCATGCAATCCTTTTTTAAAAAAATCACCAGTTTTATAAATTTTTCCACGGATTGTCATGACCAAATTTTCATTTGAATTTGTTGTATTACCCCAAAATTCACTAACCAAGTTATTTGGTATTGGTGGTGACTCAGTACAACCTATTGCTATGAATCCAAATGTTAATAAAGCAGCTAATACAGAAGCGAAAGCTACAACAAAGCACAGTGCAAATTTTTCTCTCCAAGCTTGTCGTAGCTGTGGATTATCCATTCCTCCAAATTTAGTTAAGAATTTATCTAAAACCATAAACGATACTATCCATGAAAAATAAACCCACCACGTATTTTCTTCTCTGGGTGCCATCTCCGCGATTAACTTTAAAGAAGTTCTTATTTGTCGAGTATTATTAATGGAAAAATGACTCTTTCTTGGGGAAAATTGTGCTGATATTTGAACACTTTTCCTACTAAAACCGCCTTTTTCGAGAATTGAATCGGATAAAACTTTTGACTCTCGTGAATCAACAGGTTCAGGCATAATGAAATTTTCTATCATATCAGAAACATGTAGGTAGCCACCATCAAGCGCAAGTTGAGCAGCTGTTTTTTTCATTAACAGTCTTTAAAGTCTTATCAGCACCTGCTATGAGTAATTGACGGACTATATTTGCACGTCCTTTATACGCCGCCAACATTAAAGGTGACCAATGGTACTATCATTAACAAAAAAAAATATATATATTCATATAATTTAATATTTTGAAACCATTCTTTTTTAATTAATAAAAAAAAAATTTTTTTTCTCATTACCACATCAACAATATTAATGTTAGCACCTCTCATCAAAAGGGTTTCCACAGCAAGCCCATGCCCATTATGAGCAGCATATGCAATGGCAGTTTTCTCAGTCATATCTTTTTGATTAATGTTTGCACGCCCACGATCCAATAACATCCTACAAGCATAAGAGTGTCCATGATACGCAGCTATCATAAGTGGTGATACATTATTATTGTTTGATCGATCAACGGATGCATCATTTTTTAGCAGAGTTTTTACCACATCTGCATTTCCAGCAGCAGCAGCTTGGAATAAAGCAGTTTCACCAGATTCATCTTTTTTTCAAAAAAAAAAAATATATAATAAATAAAAATAAATAAATAAATAAATATATATATATATATATATAAATGAACTACGTATTGATAAATGTTTTTAAGAGGTTTTGAAATAATAGAGTACCTTGTAAATCGATTTCAACATTAGATTTCAACAAATAATTTACAGTATTTTGACAATCTAAAGAAGCAGCAATCATCAAAGGAGTCTTGCCACTATCTTTGATTCTTTCAGTATTTTCTGAATTACTTGGGTTAATAAACCGATTTAAATCATAATCAGGATATTCATCTAAAATCTTTGCGAGAGTTTGGACATCGTCTGTAATTATTGCATTATATACCAATAAATCGAGTTGAGATGACCGAGTTTCTGAATATATTGTATTAGAAGAAGAGCTGGATGCTACACTTTCTACTACAGCATTTGTAACACGTGTAACTGGTGTTCTTAATAAACTCTCAGGAATTACATTATCAGATGTAATTATTCGACTATTTTCACTTTCGTTTTCGTTTCTAATTTGTAATTGATTTAAAAATGACATTTCAGAATCTAAACTTTCAGGTGTTAACGTTTGATCATTTTCATTTTCGTTAATAAGTTGTGATATTTGTAACGGTGGACGGTAGACAGTTGCATCAGGTGTTGATGGTTGATTGTTTTCGTTTGATGGATACATTAGATAGAAAGTTGAAGAAGAAAAATCTATTTTAGAAGGTAGATAGATATACGAACACGTATATATATAATAAAATGAATGAATAAAATTTTTAATATCAAATTTTATCAAAAAATTTGATTATTATTTTTCTTCTAACAATGGAGAGAACTAAAAAATAAAACGAAACTAATTTTTGTGATTTATATGTGTTTCGTAAAATTTATTTCTTCATTATATAATTACATGGGTATACGACCAATTGAAAAGACAAGTCGTTATGATCGTATAAATTACAGATAGCAATTGCCAACCAAATATTTAATACACTACATAAAGTTGTTTCGGTTCATAAATTAACCCGAAGTTTTTGTCGATATTTTTCGGCCTCATTTCTATTTTGAGCTAATATGATCAACTATCTCAAAAATCTCGCGGATCCCTTTTTCGTTTTAGAAATAAGAAAACTGGGGGAAACGTTAACAATCCATACACTGTTACATTGATTTCTAAGACAATTACCCTATTTTATCTTTCTCGTTTTTAAAATAACACAGAGAAGTAGATAATAATTATCATTTATGAAATCATTAGCACTTTTCATAAAAATAATACGAAGCTTCACGGTGCTGACCGATGTAGGCTGAGGTTTATGAAGATTAGAAAGAATTAAAGAATTTGTATCAATCCTTGGTAAATACTTGATCGGTTTTTAAATGATTCTTCTTTAAGTTAGTTTATTATTTATTTAAAACTATACGGCGCTTTAAAGTGAATCGATCGGAGCTTGAAACGAATCGTTATATCGTCATCTTCACATTACACAAGTGTACTGTAACAAAATTCATTACGTACTTTAGAATCTTTATCAATTAATAATTATGTTGGATTTTCATGGGATGAAATATCATCAACT